TTCTGGCAAAGGGGCTCACGGGGCAGGGACAAAGGGGACAAGGTTCTGGCTTTGGGAATGAAGTCCTGAGTGCAGGAGAGTGACTGCACTGTCCAAGCCAGTGACACCGGCGCTGCCAGGAGCTGGGGCTCCAGACGGAGAGAGGTAAAGGGCCCGTGAGCTGGGGAGAGGGAGAGCTTGGTGTGACCCACAGAGAAGCGAAGTCAAGGGTTGGATTCTGTCAGGCCGTCCTGCAGCAGCTCCAGACCGTGGGTACCAGCCTCAGGCCGCCTGGCAGGAGCCAGGCACAGACCCCACCGTGGCTGAGTTCTGTGCTTAGATCTCACCCACCAGGTATCAGTGTGAACTCCTCAGGCACTGGAACAGCCTGACCAGGGAGTCCCAGGTACTCCCATCCATCTCACCACCCAGCTGCCTTTGTGAGAGCCGGAGCCTCACACCAAGGATCACGGCACTATGTGGGTTACTCCCAGCCCCAGAGGAGTCCTGGGAGACTGGGGAGGGTGTGCGGCCTTTGCCAGAGGAGGAAGCGGCTGGTAACGTGGAAATCCCATGCTTGCTGGCCAGGCTTTCCTGGGCATTTCAGCATCCCGCTCTGCAGCCGGACAGCTGGAGTGCGAGCGCCAGAGCATCTGGAGAGCATGTGCGCGACCAGCTGGAGCATGCGTGTGCAACACAACAGCTGGGGGCCGTTTCTGCCACAGCTGGGCCCCGAGCCCTTGTTATCCAGCTGCTGCTGGGATGTGAAGCCCAGCCCCACCAGGCCGCAGGCTGTGCCTAGCGGATCCCAAACCGGGTGCCAGGCCGGGGCTGAGCCCCCAGCCCGTTTCGATGGGAACGTCCCCTCTCTAAGGCCAGAAAGGGTCTCTGCCGAAGGGACGCTGTGACTGTCTCCCAAGCAGCCGGCGCGGTTGTAGGCACCGACGCCAGAACCACGCTGCCCGGAGGCAGGAGGGCACAGAAAGCCCAAGAGTTAGGCCCAAGGGCAGCAGGTGCAGAGGAGACAGGCAGCCCTGCCTGCAGCCAATGCTCTGCCTGTCCCTCTGCCTGTTCTCCCCTGCACCCAGCAGCCCCCACTTCACTTTCCGGCCCCCAGGCTGCCTCTGAATTAAGGGCCAGGATTGTAAGTGGCTGTGGGGGGGAGCAGCCTGGGGGTCTTCCAGCAGCAGGATGCCTGGCCAGGGTGGGACTCCCTCCAGACAGGAGTCCTGAGCTACCTCCCACCCTGAACAGGAGCTGGGAATTCTCCATGCTCAGCTGCAGAGCACCCCATAGTGCCCACCCCCACCCCCCGCTCAAGCGCTCTGTGTGTAGCTGCTTCCACTACAGTCGCTGGAACCGCCAATGCAGACGTGCTCGCTCCCTGTGCAGCCATGTTACGGGGGTTTCTAGGCTGTCACACCCTCATCACCATGTCTCTGGGCTCCCAAGCGCCTGTCCACCCTCCCATGGCACCTGGGGCTCTGGGTATCTCACCGCCCCAAGCTGGGCGGTCCTGAAATCTACCTCCTTGCCCTGCTGTGTCCTGGATTCCCCTCTGTATGCAACAACTCGGGCGTGGCACGCTAGAGACAGGGCGGCGTAGCTACGGGGTGCAGACAATCCACGCCCGAGCGATGCACTCACTGCCCGTGTGGACAGCGCCGACGGGCGGGCGTCTCCCATCGACACCACTACTGCCTCTCGCGGCGGTGGGGCACCTACTCTGACCCGTAGCTCAGTGCTGCAGCCGCGGCAGCGCTACACCTGGGGACAAGCCCGTAGCCTGCTGCGTCTAGGCTCCTTCTCGGCCAGCCCCCAAGCCCAGGGAGGGGGCGAGCGGCAGAGCTGGGGGCTGTTGGCTTAGGTGGCTGCCCAGCCAATGGCCAGGATAGCTAGACGCTGACCTACCAGGAAACGCGAGGCAGACACGCAGACACCCCACTGAGGCCTGGCCTTTTAGTATCCCCCAGCCCTCTGGGGGCCTGCTTGGGATCCCGCCTGGCTGGCAGGAGGGGCAGCGGGAACAGATCCTGTGGGGCTCGCACTCTCTGGCTGCAGCCCTAGTAACAGGCAGGTTGCTGTGAATTTGGGGGGAGGGTCCAGCACAGGGCTGGCAGGGGACGTGCCCAGGACAGCCAGTCACGCAGAGCAGTGCAGCATCCCCCCTCCCGGCCCGGAGCCTGCCCTGCACGCCACGCTTTCCGGCACCACGCCCCTTGGCAAGCGGCTTGTGCCCGGGAAGACACTGGCTGGCTGCGTATGACGGCATCACACGGGCCTGGCAGCCCCGTGATTTAAAACCCTGAGACCAAGCGCTGAGTCAGTAACACCCCACACTGGTGCAAACCCCGTCTCCCCTCGGGGTGGGCTCGGCCCTCACTGCTCCTGGCCCCCGGCCCCAGCACGTGCTGAGTTCTGAGGCAGCCTCCCCTGTGTGGCTGTCTCGTGATCTCGTCTCAGGCGAAGCAGGTGGCTCCGTGTCTCTGCCCCCAGCTCCGGGGCAGCAGCTCCGTGTCTCAGCCTGGTTCGTAGGGCCTGGCTGCACTCCGAGCGGGGGGGTTACCAGCGCCAAGAGCCATGCCCGTGATAAGCCAGAGCGCCCCAAAGAGCGTAGCCGCGGCGATGCACACAGGGAGAGGGGCTAACGCCCCCCAGTACGGACCGGCCAAGATACTAGGCCCCTTCTGCTCCAAGTGTCAATGGACCCTCTGAGGCAGCATCTTCCCGCCCGCGCCGGGAGCTGTCTGCTCCCTGCCGGATAATGACTGGGCCAGCTGCACCGCGTCTGCACCTTTGCCCTCCTCTTCCAGCCTGCGTGGGCAGGGGAGGAAACGGGGCAGCACGGAGCCGTCCCCTCAGACCAGCAGGGCGCCCGGGGTCCCGCCGGCTGCAGACAGCGAAAGCCTGGGCCCGATCCCAATGCAGCAGCCGCCAGGCTGGTGCGAGCAGGCAACGCGGAGGTGCAGAATGCGGCCAGGAGGGTCGGGAGTCACCAGGTCACTTGGGGCTCCTGGGCCCCATTCCCGTCCTTGCCCAGGAACTGGGGTGTCCCGCCAGACTCCAGCGTCTGCAGAGTGCGAGCAAGGAGCCGAGCGCAGCCGGGCCAGCCCCACTCAGTCCGCCAGGAACCCCCCAGGGTGGGGCAAGCCCCGGCACAAAGCCGCTCACAGCTGGGAACTGGCCTCACCCCCAGCTCACCTCTGGGCGAGGCGGCTGCTGGAGGGCAGCGGAGCACAGGGCCCCGGGGTGGGGGCCGGGCGTGGGGCAGCTGCCCCGTCAGGCCCCGCAAGCCCAACGGGGCCAGGCTGGACTCAGCTCCACAGGGGGCAGAGCCAGGGCCCTATTGCCCTGTAGCAGCCCCCGGCAGGGGCTGGGCTGGGCTGGTCCCATCCCGCTCTCTCGCTGCAGAGAGATTGGGGCGTGTTCTCATGGGGGGGACCCAGAGCTCAAGGGGGGCCCAGCCTGACCCGGCTCCTGCCCTGCGGGGCCAGGGTCTCTCTGGCCGGGGTTCAAGGGGAAACCATCTGCCTTGCGCCCCCCGGCCCTGAGCCCCCCGCATTCAGCACGTGCCCCCAGCCCCGCGCCGGTTCGGGGTCGGCCTGGGGGTCCCAGCGGGAGCGCGGCCCCGGCCTCTCCCAGCAGGGGGCGCTGTGGGGAGGCGGCGGGAGGCTCTGAAATGGGACCGGGCGGGACCGGATTGGGGGCGGGGGCGGGGCCGGCCGGCTGCCCCGCCCCCTGGCCGGGCCGGTCACATGACATGCCCGGTGGCGGAGGCGGAGGCGGAAGCGCGCGGACACGGTACCGGGGGGCGGGGGCCCGGGCCAGGCAGGACCCGCCCAGCAAAGCCCGCTGGGGTGTCGGGGGTGGGTGGGGAAACTGAGGCAGGGCGGGCGCGCGCTGACCCCCAGCCACAGCGGGGAGCCGCGGGGGCCCCCGAGGTCAGCCCTGCCCGTGCCGGCTCCGTGGGGCGCGCCGTGGGGTGTCCCGCCCCCTGTACCCACCGGCCCGGGAGGTTGGGCGCTGCCGGTGAGCTCCGGCCTTGCCCGCAGGGGAACGAGCCCCTCCCCCCGTTAGCTTTATGGGCACGGTCATGGGGAAACTGAGGCACGGGGCTCCTGTGGGCGTGGCCCGTGTGGCAGCGCCCTGCGCCCCTGCCGCCGCCTCCGTCGGTGGGTCTGAAAGTGCCCTAGCGTGGGTCCGGCAGCCCGTCCCTGGTGCTGTGGGGGGAGCCCCTTCTGCCCTCCCCACGGCAGCCCGGGGGGGAACAGCTGGTCCAGCAGCGAGGGAGGGGCCTTGAACCAAGCGGAGGGACCTGGGCGCTGAGCCGGGGGCAGCCTCCCGAGCCCCCGTCCCGCAGCAGCCGAGGATGTGGGGAAACGCTGCCCTCGGCCGGCCGGGGCTGTCTCGCACCCCACGCCCTGGGCAGGGCATCGCCGGGCGGGCACCTGCTGCAAGTGGCTCTGGTGTGTGCCCTGGGCCGGGCGGGGAGAGGAGGCTCCAGCGCGCGGGTGGGCATGGGGTGGGTGGGTGGGCTCCTGGCCCGGGGGCCCTGGCGCTGACCCGGGTTCTCCCCCCAGATGAAGTGCGTGCTGATCGCCAGCGAGGGGGCGGAGGTGCTGTTCTGCTGGGCCGACGAGGAGTTCACAGAGAGCCTGCGCCGGCGCTTCAGCCAGGCGGAGCAAGGGGGGCGTGAGGTGAGAGGTCTCCCTGGGGGTGCAGCAAGCCCCCTGGGCCGGGGGGAGGGGCTGGGCTGAGGGCCCTGTTGAGTGGCGGGGGCAGAGGTCAGCTCCAGACCCCAGCGGGGGTGCAGCTGGGTACTGGGGGGAGGGGCTGGGCTGGGGGCCCTGGGCTGGGGGGGTGCGGGGGGGGGGGGGGGTGGAGGAGCAGCTGGAGCGGGACTGGCTCACGGCCTGTCTGTCCCTGCCCTACAGCCGCCTGCCTTCGAGGACAGCATCAACACGCTCTTCGCCCCCATGATCATCTCCTGCGGGACGCTGCTGGAGCGGCTCTCGGACACCTACACCTGCTTCTCGGCTGAGGACGGAGGCCATCTCTACGTGCTGCACATGGTAACGGTGCCCAGGGACCCGCCCCCCGGCAAGGGGAGCGTATGGCCGTTTGCTGGGAGCGTGGCGCTAGCCCCACTTGGGACGCAGCTGCCATCCGGCCTGGCCCCTGGGCAGAGCCCTGCGCTGGGTCACTGTGTGTGCGGGGGGGGGAGGGTCCCTCTGGGGCAGGATCCCCAGGCTGTGCTCCCGGGGGGGCCCTCCCGAGCAGACCCACGGGGAGACCCACTCCCTGCTGGCGAGGGCCGGCCCGCGCGGGAGCCTTGCCCCAGGCCCAGCCGGCACGAGGCCGTCTTACAGGGGTGGGGATTTGCTGTTTCCTGCCTGGCCCTGCCGGCGCGCTGCAGTTCGGGGAGTGCCTGTACATCGCGGTGAACGGTGACGGCTCGGAGAGCGAGGACGACCTGCGCCGGAAGCTCTACGTGCTGAGGAGACTGGCCGAGGCTCACTTCGGCCTGGTGACGCTGGACTCGCACCTTGTCTGCAAGGAGTGAGTGGCTGGCTGGGCCGGGAGGGTATTTGGTGCTGCCTGGGTGCTGGGCAGACCCTCTCACCCGGACGCACACGTCAGCGCTGCAGCCAGCACCTGACTGGTGAGCTAGCACCGCGGCCGATCCCTGGGGCTGGGGGACTCGATGCTGTGCCTGGGGGGTGCAGGGATCTGGGCAAATGTGGAGCCTGTCTCTGTGCTGCAGGCTATGAGACTGGAGGGAGGCCAGGTCCCAGCGTGCAGCGCGCACCATGCTGGGTCACGTCCCCCGCGCTTGAAGCGTTGCTAGCCCAGAGGAGGAGGCGCCGCGTTTCCCACGCCGGTCTCCGAGGGCTGCTCAGGGCCGGGAAGAGCAACTGGAGCCTGGGGAGTGGCTGGCAGCAGTGTGTTGGTCCCAGGGAGGAGACCAGGCCCATGGGGGGCCCTCAGCCAGGCGAGGGGCCCCGGGAGCCCAGGGACAGTCTCTGGGACGGGCCCGTCTCTCCTGGACGGGAATCGGCTCACTCGGCGCCTGTGCTCCCAGGTTGCGGCCGGCGGACTCGGAGCAGCGCAGCCGTGTGTGGGCCCTATTCCAGGGCCTGCTCCAGACCTACAGCAGCCTGCGGGAGTCCGAGCAGAGCTTTGCCGTGGAGGTACGGGGCGGCGGAGGGCCTAGCCTGGGGAAGGGGGCTAGCAGGCTGTGGGCGCTGGGTGTGACTGGGGTGAATTGCCCTGAGGGGGGCCTGGGCGGTGCTGGAGGGGCCTGGGTGGAGCCGAGGGGGTGCCGGGGGGCGTGAGTGCAGAATTCTTTGGGTTTCCTCCCATTCCCTGGCTGGCGCGGCCGGGAGCTGCCCCACCGGGCCGCTGGGTCCCCTTGCCCTGTCCCAGCTCAGCGCTGGGTCTGTCTCCCTGTGACCCTGCCCGCAGGCCGTGGAGCGGCTGATCCACCCCCAGCTGTGCGAGCAGTGCATCGAGTTCCTGGAGCGCCAGGTGGTGCAGCACATCAACGCCAGCGGGCAGCGCGGGGGCGAGGAGGTGGTGCACGCCTTCCTGCTGGTGCATACCAAACTGCTGGCCTTCTACTCCAGGTGAGATGCGCCCGCCCCACCCCCCATGACCCTTCCTGGAACAGCAGCTCTATCATCCCCTCCCCACTCACTGGCCGCCTCTCTCTGCAGCCGGAGCGCCAGCACCATCCGCCCAGCCGACCTGCTCACCCTCATCCTCCTGGTGCAGGACCTGTGTCCCAGCCCCAGCGCAGACGAGGACCTGAGCCCCCAGGTGCCTGGCTGGGGGATGGGCCTCGGGAGCAGCCTGGGGCTGGTGGGACTGTCGGGGGAGGGGTGCTCCTCTGTGATGGGGGCTGGACCCCTCTAAGCAGCTCTCCTGCTCGCCCTGCAGCTGGCAGAGCGGGGGCTGACTCCCCAGAGACCGAAGAGCAGCGAGAGCATCCCAGTGAAGAGCCCAGGCCCACACGGCACCCCCAGGAGCGAGGCAGAAGAGCAGGTGTGTGGGGCCGGCTGGGCCTGGTGCCCGGGGGTTGGCACAGAGGTTGGGGGTATTGTGGTTGCCTGGAGCCCCAGCAGGGGCAGGGTCCCCAGAGCTGTTCTCCACCCCCCCCAGGATCAGGGCCTATGGTGCTGGGAGCTGTATGGGCTCGTTCTCCCCCCCCCCCCCCCGGGATCAGGGCCCTGTGGTGCCAGGAGCTGCTTGGGCTCATGTCCCCCTTACACACTCACACTCACACTCACACTCACACTCACACTCACACTCACACTCACTCACGGGGATCACGCCCCAGGAGCTGCATGTATACGCGGAGCCGTGCTCCCTGCCCGAAAGCACTCGGGTGCGACTCTCCACTAAGTCAGCGGTTCTCAGCCAGGGGTACGTGTACCCCTGGGGTACACAGAGGTCTTCCGGGGGGTACATCAACTCAGCTAGAGCTTTGCCTAGTTTCACAACAGGCTACATAAAAAGCACTAGCGGAGTCAGTGCAAACTAAAGTTTCAGACGGACCATGACTAGTTTACACTGCTCCATATACTAGACGCTGAAAGGCAAGTGCAGTATTTATAGGCCAGTGGATGTATTTGATACTGATATGGTAAAAAGGAGACCCTCAGCCATTGTTCACTACTGGTGTGCTGGGACACTTGTATTTTTACGGTTGGGTTTACAAGCAGTTTTTAAGAGAGGTGACACCTGGGGGTACACACAACAAATCAGCCTCCTACCGGGGGACAGCGGTCTGGAAACCCTGCGCTAAGGGGTGTCATGGATTGTGCCCAATCTTGGCCCCGTGCGGTCCGTGCAGGGGGCCCCTTTCAGTGAGACAGCCCTTCTCAGGGGTCTACTCTCCTTCGGGATTAGGCCCCTCCACCTCCTGGAGCCGCACCTCTCTGAGCCTTAGCACGTCTGTCTCTCGCCGTGGGCCCCCTCAGGGAGTCCCCTCGCTCTGGACCCCCGGGGCCTCCACCCCCCGAAGGGGACGATGCAATCCTGTTCTCTAGACCAGAGTGACTCTCAGCCAGCATAAAACAGGAGGGTTTATTGAACGACTGAACCCAGCACAGGAAACTCTCTGACCCTCAGGCCTGGCCTCCCTCAGCCCAGCACATCCCAGTCTCCCCTGCATCCAGGTGGGCTCTGCCTGCTGCCCCTCTCCAGCCCAGAGCCCCCCTGCTTCCCAGCTGGGCATCTGATACCCGCGGCCCCAAGCCCCGCCTCTGTCCATTGCCTTCTCTCCAGGGAAACAGGGTCGCCTGCGCCTCCTCTTCTCTCTTCGCAGCCCATTGTCCTCCCACTGGCCAGGACCGGCTGCAACTCCTGAGCTGGGTCTCCGGGTCGCCAGGTCACCGGTCACTGGGGTCTCCATTCTCCAGGCCATCGGCTGGGGTCTCAAGTTCCCTCTCCGGTCCTCTGTAACCACAAACTCCCTCTCCCTTCCCCTCGTTAAACCAGTAACACCCAGGGACACTGAGTCTCACCCCCTCTGCATGCAAACCATTGGAAAACAAGGAAAACACAAGAAAATCCCCCACTTCATCACAAGGGGTGTTTGATAGAATCCAGCTACCCGGAGCCTGACTGTGCCCCGGCCGAGGAACCAGCCCAGCCTCACCGCTCTGCCCTGTCGTTGTGGGGAGGGTCCCGCTGCCCCCTGAGCCGGCTCCCTTCTCGCTTGCAGGATGCGGACGAGATCTCCATTCCCGAGGAGTATTACACCCCTCAGCCCTCGCCCAGCAGGCAGAGCACAGGTGAGTCCCTGGGCAGACGGGCCGTCTCGCACCGGGAGACTGGTTGTGTCCCCAGAGGTGGCAGGTCCAGCACGGGGGCACACGAGGGAGCTGTGCCAGGAGGCCTGGCCCCGGGGTGGGGTGTCTGTGTGGAGGTTGAGCCCCCACCCAGCACCCCAGAGGCCAGGGCAGGAACCCCGCAGGGTGGTTTGGCTGCATGCGGGGCTGGGGGCAGCTGGCTCCTCCCCTGCTCTGTTGCCTACAGGAGGCGCCAGCTGGTCGGAGGGCTCCGAGCCACCGGGCTCCGGGGAGGCAGATGCTGCTGATGTCCAGGTGAGCCGGGGATTCCCGCCCTGAGCATGACCCTGGGAGAGCCCATGGTGCCCACGTCCCGCTGTGCAGTCCTGCCCTGCCAGCCTGCCCGCGTGCCCAGCACGCGCCTCCCAGCCTGGCCAGACGAGGGGTGTCTGCAGGGCTCCTGCAGCCCCTTCTCCCCCAGAGCTCTTCCTTCCCCACCCCCCAGGCGTCTTGCAGCCCCTCAGCACAGGCTGGGCCTGTCACACTTGCCCATCGCTGCAAACCCCACCCTGTCCTCCCTGCCCCTCTGGCCAGGGAGCCCAAACTTTGAGCGGGCCTGGCAGCGACTTGAATTCCCTGCGTGACAAGCTCCTGGGGAAGGTCTGGGGGGGTGGGGTCTGAGCCACTAGCCGGATCCATCCCCCTTGTGGGGAGTTTGTTCCAAGATTCAGCCTGTTTTCCCCATTTGCGCCACCTGTCGCCCACTCCCTTCTGCCCGGGAGCCTCCCACCTGCCCACACCTGACTGCAGCTTCCCGGGGGTGGTGCCACCAGCTCTGCCCTCGCTGCGTGGGACGTGGGCAGACCAGCCTGTTGCTGCCTGGCCCATTGTAAACCCTTCGGGTCACTTCCCCAATGCGGGGTGTCTAGCCAGCTGCTTTCTCCTCCCAGGTGGCAGAAGACTCGCTCCAGGCCCTGGTGCCCCCAATGCCCAACGCCTCCAACCCCAGAAGGATCTTCCTGGATGCGAACCTGCGGGAGGGCTACTGCCCCATGGTGCCCCACACCATGTACTGCCTGCCGCTCTGGCCTGGCATCTCGCTGGTGCTCCTGACCAAGGTGAGCTGGCTCTGGGGCATGGCGCATGCTGACCAGCCTGGCCTGCCACAGACCCACAGGGCCGGTGCTACGGCCCCAGCTGTGGAGCAGTGTCTGGGAGGAGCCCGTCAGTGGGCCGGGGCCCCAGGGGTCTCGCGCGCCCTCCTGGGTGAGCCACACTGCTTCCCCGCCTCCTTAGCCTGGACCCCGGCCCTGCAGCCCCCCTTCTGCCCCCCTGAGCTCCGGGCAGCGGGTCCAGCTGGGACACACCCCATGGGAGGCTTGTGCATTAGCCCCTCGACCAGCGTTCGCAACGACTCCCCCAGCGCTCAGACAGTTGGGTTTGTTCGGTAACTGGCCACGGCCCAGGCCGGCCATCGGGTCGCCCAGAGAACTGAAGGTCACAGCACGGCCCATTCTGGGGAGCCCCGTGCCCAGCCAGGCTGTAGGGAGCCCCTGGGTTCCAGCTCTGTCGGGCTGTGACCTCCTTGGTCCGACTCCCGGTGAGAGCCCCGACTCCTTCCAGGAGCCCCCTCTGAGCCCCCCACCCCCTCCCAGCCCTTCGATCTCCAGCTGGGGGGGGTGTCTCAGCCTCCCTGCACAGAGGCGGGGAGATCTCTGTCCCCTGGGGCGCTGGGTGTCAGTGTCCTGGGGACTGGATTTGCCATCGGCGTCTCAAATCTCCACTGATCTGGGGCCAGGCCCAGACAGCCAGGCGACACCACCCTTGTCTCAGCCTGTCCTGAGAGCAAACAGTCCTGCCCCACCCATGAGGGAACAGTGCAGGGGAAACTGAGGCATGCCAGACTCATAAAAGTCATACAAACCAATTCCCACTTTCACACCCACTCAGAGCCCCAGCACCCACATCGCCTGCTCCCTGTACCAACTGCTGGATGGGTTCCTGGTGCTGGAGAAGAAGCTGAGGGAGGGGCAGGAGGTGGGGCCACCCACCCGCTCCCACCCACTCCTGGCTGAGCTGCGCCAGAGGATGGACAAGTTCGTGAGGAAGCTGGGCAGGCAGGACATGCAGGTGGGAGTCCAGCGCGGAGCTGCGGGGCGGTCGGGGACCCTGGCACGGCCTGCACGCCTCACGGCTGCCCTGTCTGTCTGTCCTAGTTACACAACGCCTGGCTGGAGTTCAAGAGCAAAGCGTTCTCCAGGCAGGAGTCCGGGAGCTCCAGGGAGTGAGTAGGGGGGGGGGGGGAGAAAACTGGGGTACAGGGTGGCTGGGGCGGGGCAGGCAACGGGGGGGGGGGGTCTAGGCCCAGAGGTCCAGGAGGACAAGGAAGAAGGCCAAGGGCGCGGACCCCAGTGAGCAAGGTGGGGTGGCTCTTGGGGCCCCCAGCTGCTGTCTGGAGCCCAGGGTGGGGGCCAGGTGGGGACGTCTCTCAGGGGCTGTCTCCCTCCAGGCTCCTGCAGGCGCTCGGCAACGTGAGGCGGCAACTCTGCTCCGTCTATCGCCAGCTCTTCCTGACCTCGCTGCCCACCCAGGGCCTGGCCCAGGGCCTGCAGGACTGGGCCCAGAAGCTGGTGCGGTGAGTGGCGGGGGGGGGGGGGGGGGGGGGGGGGGGGGGGGGGGGGGGGGGGGGGGTGGGGGGGGGGGGGGGAGATGGGGCTGCTGGCAGGGGGCGTGGAGGCTGGGACTTCAACTGGCCTTGTGGGGAAGCGGCTGGAAACCAGCCCCCAGGCCTGGGCCCTGCATGGAGAGGACGCCGCAGACCTTGGCGGGTTTAGCCGGTACATGTCCCTGTAACCGGCAGGGCAGTTTGACCCCCAGGCACCTCCGGGGCACGGCTGGGCAGGCAGCTCTTCTGTGGGGCCCCCCTGGGGAGGCACGTGCCCCATCCCCTCCAGTGCGGGATACGAGCCAGCCATGGCCGGCATCCCCATGTCCATGCAATGCCCCCCCGCTGGGCGCCAGGCAGCCCGAGGCCCTGGCCGGGGTGGGGGGGGGGCTCCGTGCTCAGGCCAGGCCTCTTCCTCTGCAGGGAGAAGCTGCTGGACTGGAGGGACTTCCTGCTGGTGAAGAGCAAGCGGAACATCACCATGGTGTCACATCCGCCCAGAGAGCCCCACGCGGGGCAGGCGCCTCCCCCCCCCCCCCCCCCGGGACCGTCCCCGCGGTGCAGCGAGGGCTGGGGGGCGGCTTCTCCTGCCCAGGCCGGCTCGGGGCAGTTGGCCTGGCTGAGCTGGCACAGCTAAGGGGGGGCTCGCCCCATCTCTCCAGCAGCAGGGCTGGACTCTGCCCAGCGCTGGGGGGACGGGCCTGCAGGGAGCCCAGCCAGTAGGTGGCACGTTGGGTCCCACAGGGTAGGGGTCTCTGAGATGTCCCGGGGGCACTGGGCTGGCCCCAAGTAGGCCACGCCATGGGGTTGTGGACAGAGCCCCCCTCTGCGCCCCCGGATGCCTTGGGGGGGGGGATACAGGAGGTGCTGCTGGAACTGTGGGCAGGGGGCCGTCGGCACGTGGGTTCCCATCACCAAGAGTGGGGACAGGAAGCAGGACCCGTCAGGAGCCATCTGGGGGGCTCGCGGGAGCTCCCCATTGCCCAGGGCAGGCTCAGCAGGGCACCCATGGGCAGGGGGGTCCCTATGTCTGGGCACCACACGCGCATTCCCTGCAGTCGCTGGTTGCCCTTAACCTGCCCCCACCTACCTGGAGGACTTCCCAGGCCTGGTGCACTTCATCTATGTGGACCGCACCGCCGGGCAGATGGTGGCACCTTCCCTCAACGTGGCCGAGGACTCCACCTCGGAGCTGGGCAAGGGCGCCCTGGCTGCCTTCATCAAGAAGAAGGTACCGGCCCTGGGCTCTGACGCTGATCCCTTGGTTTGGGGGTGGGGAGGCTTAGAAGGGACCCATGCCTGGGCCGGTCTGCACAGCCGTGGGGGCCCAACTGGGGGGAGGGCAGGCCCAGCTGGGGTGGCAGGAGCCGGGCGGGACGGGGGAGCGCGACGCTGGTGAAGCAGGGCGCTCGGTAGGAGGGGGAGGAGAAGGGAGCAGAGCCGTGGGGCGGGGGGATCTCTGCGCCGGGCTGCAGCTGCCTCCTCTCCCCCCAGGTCTGGTCCCTGATCGGGCTGGCGCGGCGCTACCTGCAGAAGGGCTACACGACACTCACGCTGCGGGACGGCGACTATTACTGCTCCTACTTCCTCTGGTTCGAGAGCGAGCTGGTGCGTTGGGGGCGCTTGGCCTCTGACCTGCCTGACGAGGCCCCTCCCCCAGCAGCACTTCCGAGAAATGGAGAGGCCCTGGCAGGTCACCCCGGGGCGTGTTCCTGAGCCCCCAGGACCTGTGGCTAGCCCCCAGCCCAGCATACGGGCTCCCCAAAGCGCTTGGTCAGCCCTGCCCTTGCCCATGAGCTCCAGGCCACGCAGCCAGCACCCCGCTGCAGCCTCGGGCCAGCCCCCAGCCCCTCACGGCTGTCCCTTTGCCACGCAGGGTTACAAGCTGGAGGTGATCGAGGTTCCCGTTCTCTCCGACGACTCTGCTCCCATTGGGATGCTGGCAGGGGATTACTACAGGTGAGTGCTGGACCCAGCCAGCCCCTGCCCCCCGAGCCCTGTCCTGGCCGCTGGCTAGGCAGCAACGGATGGGGAGAGCTCTGGGCTGCAGGGCTGCCCCTCGCCTGCGATGGGTCACAGCCGGCAGGTGGGGCTGGGAGCTGGCAGTACTTGGGTTCTGAGCCCTGCGGGACCCTGTCTCGGTGCCCAGCATCTGTAACCACATGCCCCAGGACAGGGATTCGCAACGTCCGCATGTCTCCGCCAGGGGCTGAGGTTACACGAGCCTGCCGCTAAGCCAGGGATCAAACCCAGATCTCCAGGCTCCCTGGCCAGGCCGTCTATACCAGGGGTAGGCAACCTATGGCACACGTGCCAAAGGCGGCACACGAGCTGATTTTCAGTGGCACTCACACTGCCCGGGTCCTGGCCACCGGTCCAGGGGGCTCTGCATTTTAATTTAATTTTAAATGAAGCTTCTTAAACATTTTAAAAACCTTTATTTACTTTACATACACCAATAGTTTAGTTATATATTATAGACTTATAGAAAGAGACCTTCTAAAAATGTTTAAATATATTACCGGCATGCGAAACCTTAAATTTGAATGAATAAATGAAGACTCGGCACAGCACTTCTGAAAGGTTGCCGACCCCTGGTCTATACGTACAACATGATGGGGTCTAAATTCGCTGTTACCACTGGAGAGAGAGATCTTGGAGTCACTGTGGATAGTTCTCTGAAATCATCCACTCAATGTGCAGCGGCAGTCAAAAAAGCTAACAGGATGTTGGGAATCATTAAGAAAGGGATAGATAAGACAGAAAATACCATATTGCCTCTATATAAATCCATGGTACACCCACATCTTAAATACTGCATGCAGATGTGGTCACCACATCTCAAAAAAGATGCATTGAAACTGGAAAAGGTACAGAGAAGGGCAGCAAAAATGATAAGGGGTATGGAACAGCTTCTGTATGAGGGGAGATTAAAAGGACTGGAACTTTTTTTAGCTTGGAAAAGAGATGACGGGAGATATGATCAAAGTCTATAAAATCTTGGCTGGTGTGGAGAAAGTAGATAAGGAAGTGTTATTTACCCCTTCACATTACACAAGAACCAGGGTCACCCAATGAAATTAATAAGCAGCAGGTTTTAAACAAACAAGGAAGTATTTTTTCACACAACTCACAGTCAACCTGTGGAACTCCTTGCCAGAGGATGTTGTGAAGGCCAAGACTATAACAGGGTTCAAAAAAGAACTAGATAAGTTCCTGGAGGATTGGTCCATCAATGGCTATTAGCCAGGCTGGGCAGGGATGGTGTCCCTAGCCTCTGTTTGCCAGAGGCTGGGAATGGGCGACAGGATGGATCACTTGATGATTCCCTGTTCTCTTCATTCCCTCTGGGGCACCTGGCATTGGCCACTGTCGGCAGACAGGACAGTGGGCTAGATGGACCTTTGGTCTGGCCCGGTGTGGCCGTTCTTACGTCTTCCCCTCTGGGCCTGTCCTTGGAATGGGGTGGCCGGGTCCAGGGACGCGTGCGCTGCACAATGTCTGATCTGGGGTGGGTCCAAGGCCCAGGCCCGCTGCCCCCTGGGGGCTGGTCTGGGGCCCTGGAGGGGCTTTCCCGCCTGACCGCTGTCTCTTGTGCAGGAAGCTGCTGCGCTACTACAGCAAGAACCACGCGGCTGAGGGGGTGAAGTGCTACGAGTTGCTGACGCTGCACCTGGGCGTGATCCCTGCCGAGCGTGTGATCCAGCAGGCCTGCGACCTGGCCCGGCGACTCTGGGAGCCCTCCCGCATCCCCCTGCTCTGAGCCACGCGGGCTGGCAGCGAGCGTCGCCCCAGGGGCCTCCTCCTCGCTCTGAGTCAGACTGGTCCCTGGGCTGCCTGCAACGGGCTCCTTGCAGCCCCCACCTCGCTCGGCCCTGCAGCCCCCCGGGCCTGGCTGGGAGACCAGCGCCAGCCAACATCCTGCCGTCAGCTCCCCGCCTGCTGAAACCCACCCTCCAATGGCCAGGGGGGCTCCCCCTGCCTTGCCCCCAGAGCTGCCCAGGGTGGGGGGGCTGTTGGACGTGCGTGGCCAGGGTAGCATATCTGTACGTGCCACGCTCCAGGCTGGCATTAAAGCTGGTGCACTTGGCCAGCGTGCGGCACTCCCCTGATTCCTCCCCGTCTGCGTCAGGGGCTTGGCCGCTGACTGGGCCTTGCCTGTGGACCTGCATGTGCGAGTACATGGACAGACGTGTTTGCACGCACACGGAGACACTCCTGCTTGCCGTGCCTTCCCCAGCCTGATGCTAAGGAGGGTTCATGGTGCTCCCGCCAGGACCGGGTCCTTTTTCCCGCCGTGTGGGCAGGGCCCAGCCAGCTCCCGGGCCGGTACATGCCAGGCCTCTGCCCTGCCCGCCTCCTGCACTATGGGGGGTTTCCCAGGGCAGAGTTCGCTGGCTTCTCACCTACGCCTGCAAACCAAGGGCCCCTCCCCTCTGACTCCCCAGCCCCTAGGACGAAGGGGTCTGCAGCTGCCCCCAGCATCTGTTAGCCAAGGGGGACAGCCCAGCCTGCCCCAGGGCTCTACTGTCCCAGCTCCAGCACTGGGGCCTCCCTTCATCCCCGCCCCCAGTGGCCGGTGGGCTCGGGCTTGCTAAGCTAGGGTGCAGGTGCTCCCAGCCACACGTGCAGGGTGCCCATGGGCAGAGCTGTGTGGGGCCAGCTCTCCCCAGCCCGTGCCTAGGGGAAGGTTTTGCCCCACAGCGGGCCGGGTGGTTGTGACAAACTGGGACTGTTCTTAAGGTGGTCTTTGAATGCTGAGTGGGGAGTGTTGGCTGGGAAGGTGGCAGGGGGGTTTGGCTGGGACGGTCTGCATTGGGGGATGGGAGACTGGCCTTGAGGGGAGATACCTGAGCATGTAACGTGAGAATCCAGGAAGGGGGTTGGAGCCAGGTGACACCTCTGCTCGGGAAACTGGACAAAGGCGGGGAAGGAGCCGGGGGAGGCTGGGTGAGAGATGCTGGAGGGAGTGGGAGGTCTCAAGAGCTGGCTGGTAATGGAGGGAGCCCAGATGGGGCTCTGCCCCCCCCCAATGGGGCTGTGGTGCTCCTGGGACCCCAAGATGGACCTAACTGAGGGGATCCTGTTGTCTGTGCCTGCAAGACCTGTCTCGGACTGTGTTCCTGTTGTCTAAATAAACCTCCTGCTTTACTGGCTGGCTGAGAGTCATGGTGAATCGCAGGAGGCCGGGGTGCAGGGCCTTGTGTCCCCCACACTCTGTGACAGTGGTGCCTGGGGAGCAGGGAGCATTGGCATGGCACCGGTCGCCCCAGCAAGTGGGTGAGCTGGTGACATGGGGGGTTGTGGGGGGGCAGTGACTGGGGCTGTCTCCTGTGTGGGTGGGTGCTGTGGGGAGTCGCTGTATCGCACAGGGGGTGGAGAATTGGGGCAGGGGGCAGCCGAGAGGGGCCAGCGTGCGTCTGCCTGGGCCCTGCCCCTTCTGCAGCCAGGCAGCTTTTCCCTGGCCCGTTCAGCCCCTCCGTGCGCACGTCAGGCTGGCTCAGCTCCAGGCTCTGCCCCCGGCCCGCCCCTCCCTGGGGAAAGTGCTGACTCGGCAGCGAAGGCCAGGCCTGGTGGCAGCCGGTGCCCAGCACGGCCATGGCAGCCAGACACGGGCTGGGCAGGGCCTGGGCCGGCTGCAGCCTGCAGGGCCGGAGGCTGGCTCACGCCGGGGCCAGGCGCCAGCTGCAGCGGGAGTACGACGCTGTGGTGATAGGGGGAGGTAATGCCGGGGCTGGGGGCTGCTGCGATTGAACCCTGGGTGCAGGGGCGTCTTTAGGGGGGCACTTCCCCCCCCAGCTGGGCTCCAGCTCCCCATGGGGACGAGCCTGGGTGTGCAGGAGCGCTGGCTCTTTAAGACAGGCGTGCAGAGCTGTGTGTGTGAGAGCCCCAGGCCCGAGCTGTCAATCAGTCAGCAGCTGCTGTGCTGTGCTGTGCTGGCCAGAGCCCCTGGGGCTCCCCACAGCCGCCTGGGCTGGCCCTACCCCAGGCCGAACTTTCGGGGGGGGGGGGGGGGGGGGAATTGCTGGTCCTTGGATCCTGCAGCTCCTTCATCCTCCAGGCTGCCACTTGCAGCCCCCGAGGGGCTCGCAGCCCCTTACCTGCCCGGTGGCCCCTGGCTGAGGTCAGCAGATGGGGTGGCATGGGGCTGCCGGGCCTACCCGGGCCGCCTTGCTACTCGCGTGCCAGGCCAGGACCCTGCAGCGCTGAACGGCAGAAGCTACACGAGGGGGAACGATGCCCAGCAGCAAGCGGGGGGGGGTCTTTTCCGAGCGCCTCCGCTTCTAGGGTCAGCTCCAGTGTTACGAGAGCTGCCCCCGAGCGCCCCTTCGTTCCCTGGGCACACGCATGGGATGTGTGGACCTAGCACCCCCCCAGTTCAACTTTCATCTAGGCCCCCCCCCTTGGCCCATGGCTGCCCCCCCCAAAGGGTTCTGTGGTGGATGAGCTTGTCCTGATGGGGTCACCATAGGCGATTGGTTACAGTGGGTCCTACCCAAAGGGCTGGTGTCACTGGCAGGCAACGTTTGCTCCAGGCTTTGCAGAAGTTTTACAAAGACACATCCAGTGAGTGCTAGTTGTGCTGACTGAGTTCTTCACTATCGTGAACACTTGGGGGGGGAGGGGGTTTCAGCAGCGACTCCCCACCCCCAGCTACCCTGGCACCCTTTCCAGCAGACACTGCCCCTGACAAGGGGCAAATTCTGCCCTTTACCACGGCTGTAAATCAGGAGGAATCGCATGGGTTTCAACCAGTGGGCTGACTTCGGAGTTGTGTAACTGAGGCCAGAATCTAGTCCATCGTATTTCATGTTGAGTTTAATCCCACTGATAGAAGATTTTGAACGCTGTATTTTGACCTCCTTAATCTAAACCTGGGGTTCCTTGACTGGAATTCTGAGTTGCAATAATATTTGTGTTGGAAAACAAACACACAAACAGCCGCTATGAAAAGCGCTTCAGTTGTGGGGTCCTGTGACACAAGCGTTGTGTTAGGTGTGATAAAGTGGTGGTGTGTTGCAGTACCACGAGGTGTACGAGAGTGTGGCTGCAGGGTGTGGTGGTGGGTAGTCACTTGTGTCAGACGTGTAGCCCCTGGAGTCCCAGTTAAAGTTGCTTCCCCCCCCCCCCCCGAATCTGAAATGGTGCTGGGGTGTGGGGCTGGCATCCTACACCAGCCGGGGGAGGGGGGGGCTCACTCTGTGCCCAGTGTGATGGGCAGGGGCTGGTGCAGCCTCTTGCCACAGCTCTGCTCCCTGGCCATTGGGTGAGGTGAGTTAACAGGCCTCAGCCATGCCGGACAACCAGGTGAATGGCAAAGCCGCCGGCATGCAGCCATGGAAACGGGGCAGGGGGCTGCATGGGGGTCCTGCGCATGGGGAGAGGAAGGACGGGGAGGCTGGAGTGGGGGCCTGCTCTCTCCTTGGGGGTCAGTGCTGCCCCTGTGCCTCAGTGGGGTGCGTTTGGTGCTGTGCTGCAGAGAATGGGGGAGGGGGCGCAGTGCTGCTAAGGGGCGGGGGGGCTTTCAATGTGTGTGGGGCGCAGTGCTGGGGGCAGGAGACAGTGCTGCTGGGCGGGCTTGGTGTGGGGGGCACTGTCTCTCCTAGCCCCTACCCCCCATGTTCATGAAGGTCCCCAAGGGTGTTTCCCAGGCCTAGGGCAGTTGCCAGCACTGTCCCAGCCCCGCGCCCCCGGCACCCACGCGGGTGGTGCCGCCTTGCGGGCATGGGGCACTGTGGTGAGAGCGGCACAGACAGCACCAGCCAGCCCTGGCTGCCAGGGAGATGGTGAGTAGCAGCAGGACCCATTGGTGCCCCAGGCCCTGGCTCCTCTCACCCTCTGCCCATCTCTCGTTGCAGGGCACAACGGGCTGGTTGCAGTGAGTATTGAATGCCGAGGCAGCTGCCTCGGGGCCCTATTTCGGGGGCGGGGAGGAAATCCCAAGTGCATGGGGGGAGTCCTATGGTGTGAGGAGAACGCTCCCAAGAGCACTCTGGAGTGCAAGCGTCCTGGGTGGGTTTGTTGGGGGTGGGGCTTTGGGGGTGTCCTGGGGGGGGTTGTTGGGGGGGGTGTCCGGGGGGGGGGGGGGGGGGGGTCCTGGGGGGGGTTGTTGGGGGGCACGAGGGGGCGGGTGACTCTTGTGCTCTCGGCAGGCTGCCTACCTGCAGAAGTCGGGCGTGCGGACAGCCGTGCTGGAGCGGCGTCACCTGCTGGGAGGTGCCGCGGTCACAGAGGAGATTGTCCCAGGTATGCACGGCCCCGCCCAGCGAGATGCCCCGGTGCCCGGGCCGGGCTGGTAGCTGACGCTTCCTTCTCTTTCAGGCTTTAAGTTCTCCAGAGCGTCCTACCTGCTCAGCCTGCTGCGGCCGCGGATCTCCACAGAGCTGGAGCTGCAGGTACTGAGGCCAGTCCGGGGGGGCTCAGCAGGTCCCCGGTGCTGCCTCCTTCCCCCCTGCTGGGAGCCTTGGTGGGTGTGAGGCCCTAGCACTACTGCAGGGCCAGAATCCCCTGGCCAGGCCCAGCTCGCTCCCCCCTCTGAGCCTCGGGGCCCAGTCCTGGAGCCTGCCAGCCCCCAACTCAGAACAGCTCCCCGGGCCTGTCCCCTCTGGGCTGGTGAGGGGGGCCGGAGGGGCCGCGCTGCCTGGCACTGGCTGCGCTCTGTCTTGCAGAGGCATGGTCTGAGGGTGTACACCCGCGACCCCTACTCCTTCACCCCCGTGCTGGAGGATGGACAAGCCTGGCGCTCGCTCCTGCTGGGCCACGACATGGTGGAGACCCAGCGGCAAATCGCTCAGTTCTCCTCCAAGGACGCACAGGTACCGAGGGCAGCAGGAGGGGCTTCAGCGGGGCCAAAGTCCTGCCAATCCCAGTGTGACTGGCCCTACATGGCCCGAATCCCAGGCGTGCAGTGCAGCCATGGGGTCTGGCCTGGGAGTGCTCCCTGCAGCCTCCTGGCCCACTCGCCGAGTCAGAGACAAAGCAAGGCTTTGGATCCTTGCCCTCCCCAGCCTGCCAGCTCATGGGCACGTCCCGGCTCGAACGCTCGGGGCAGGGGGCGCAGGGTGGTCGGTGTCTCTGCACAATGCGTAGCTGCAGCCCGAGGCCAGGTCCGCCCTAGGACATCCTGGCAAAGCGCCTACTGTGGACGCAGCGTGTACCAGCCCCTCCAAGTGGCACAAGCTGTGCCAGGGGAAGTGTGGTTTTCCCAGGCTGGCCGGGTCTACGCTGGGGGCGTTTCCCAATCGCACCTCATCCCCCCGACTGACCTGGCTGTGCCAGCACAAGTGTGTCATGTGAGTGTGACACATTTCGGGTTACCCAGGGGTCCGGGTGCGTTGCTGCCACTTGCCCCCAGCATGAGGGAGCCGTGGCTGTGCCCAGCAGGGGGCGTTCTCCCAAAGCTACCGGCTGCAGGCAACATGCGCGCTCCACTCCCGGCTACCTGAGCCCCGCTCGCTCCCTCCGTGGGCGAATAATTTACACCCCAGCTTGTCACACTGGAGCGCCCAGCCCCTTGTCTGGGCACCCACACTGTGCGCCCCTCCGTTCGCTCAGCTGGGAGCATGAAAACTCCACACACACACCCCCCGCGAGTGCCGAGCTAACCCCCACGCAGACAGTCCTCGGCCGATGGACGAGTTCTTCTGCCAGCCCAGCAATCAGGGCGGCGGATTACCTGTGCCACGGGGACAAAAGAGCAAACTGGATAAATTCATGGTGGTTAAGTCCATTAATGGCTATTAGCCAGGATGGGTAAGGAATGGGGTCCCTAGCCTCTGTGTGTCAGAGGGTGGAGATGGATGGCAGGAGAGAGATCACTTGATCATTACCTGTTAGGTTCACTCCCTCTGGGGCACCTGGCATTGGCCACTGTCGGCAGACAGGACACGGGGCTGGATGGACCTTTGGTCTGACCCAATCTGGCCGTTCTTATGACCCCTCCCGTCAGTGCCGTGGTGTCTTCACTGAAGCGCAGCAGCTCAGCTGTGCCCATGGAGCATTTCCAATGCAGACAAGCCCTTACATGGTCCCAGACTTTCTCTTTCCATAACCTGGGTGGTTCATTAGCTTCAGCTCCGCCCTGAGGTCCCCTCGTCAGAGGCTTTTCTTGGGGTTCTTTGCTTTGTCCATGCTCAGGCCTGCGGCTGGAAACACGGGGCAGGGCTGGGTCGAACGATGCGGCTGGTTCTCGCTGTCGGTTGAGTAGCTGAGACCCACCTGGGCTTTCCCTCCAGCAACTTCCGCATTTCCCACAGCTTTGGGCAGACCTCACCCGAGCCCCCCTTCAGTGGGTCAGACCCAGCTGTCATATACTTGCCTGGGCATGTCTGTGTCACCGAGGCCCTGGCCTGAGTTTGCAGTGAGCCTGAGCCGATTGCTGTTTATAGGGCAGGCTTCGGAGCCAAGGCTCCATTAACATCAGCATTGTGAAATGTCCCTGCTGATCAAAGCACAGCCGGGAGGGATGCAGCCATACGGTGCTATTGAGAGTGGGGTCTCCTTCGGCCGGCTTGCAGGAGCTGGGCATGGGCCAGGGGCTGTCCCCTGCCACCCCTCTGACAAGGGCTGGGTCGCTGAGCATGCAGGAGGCTGTCTTGCCTGGCTCTGACCGTGGAAGTGCTAAGCAGAGAGTGGGGGGCGCATGGCCCACAGGCCCGGCGGCACTGAGCGGAGTGCTGGGTGCGTGCTCAGCGGGGAGTCTGGAGGAGCGCGGCCGGGTAACAGCAGCGTCTCTTCTCAGGGCTGGCGTCCACTGGCTCCTGCCTCTGTCTCCGCTTCAGGCCTATCCAAAGTACGAGGCGTTCCTGAGCCGCTTGGTGTCGGCCCTCGACCCGCTGCTGGACGCCGCACCGGTGGACCCCGCCGCCTGGAGCCAGGGCCCCCTGCTGCAGCGGCTCCGCGCCCTGCGAGGCCTGCAGCCCCTGCTGCGGGCGGGTACGTCTGGGGCAGCGGCACAGGAGGCTCCGGCCGCGGGTCCATGCCCATCCAGTGGGGCACGGTGCTGGCGTTAGAGGGCTCAGCGCTTCCTGTAGGAGCTGCCCCGGGCACCGCCCTGGGGCTGGCAGAGACCTGAGCCTTTCCCCTTGGCTGCTAAACCCCTGGCTCCAATGTGAGTCAAGTACCCACCGTCCCCGGGGCAGACACGGGCCCAGGGCCTCGCACGTACAGAGCCCAGGCTGGGCCCAGCCTCCTGCCGACTGCCTAAGCGGGAAGGGCTCCAGGAGGGTGCGGTGGGGCCCGGGGAGCCGTCCCCTCCCAGGTTGGATGGCGCCACCTCTGACGCCCGTTTCTTTCCCTCAGGCCTGGCGCTGGGGAAGCAGCTGCCGCAGTATTACCAAGTGCTCACGGCCCCAATCACCAGGGTGAGTAACGGCTGTAAACGGGACTGTGCCCGTGGGACGGGAGACGCCCTCCCTGAGGGGGCAAGGGCTGAGCAAACCACGCATGGGGCTGGGCCTGGGAGGGGGATGTGGGGCTGAGCTGTGCTCACAGCTCCATGGGACCCAGGCCCCCTGTGCCGGCCTGGAGGGGACCCGCCTGCCCCCCATGGGACCCTGGCCCCCTGTGCTGGGCTGGGGGGGACCCCGCCTGTCCCCCATGGGACCCCGCCTGCCCCCCATGGGACCCAGGCCCCCTGTGCCGGGCTGGGGGAAGGGACCCGCCTGCCCCCCATAGGACCCAGGCCCTCTGTGCCGGGCTCTCTTCATTAAACACCATTTTCGTTTTTCTCTCTCTCCAGATTTTGGATCTCTGGTTCGAGTCGGAGCCCTTGAAAGCGACCCTGGCTACGGATGCAGTGATCGGCGCCATGGCCAGTCCCCACACGCCCGGCAGCGGGTAGGGTGCGGGGCTGGGGCTGAAGAATTCCCAGCTCCCCAGGGCCCTCCTGTTCCTGTCCCCGACAGCTGCTGCCGGGGTGTCGCGCCCCAGCGCTCGCTTCCCCCCACTCCTGCCCCGAGCTGGTGCCATGTTCCCCCTGGTGCCTGGACAGCGTCCCCCCGGCACGCACCAGGCCCAGAGACCCCCTGCTTGGGCAGGTCGGTGGGGTTTGCCTGGGCTGGCGCTGTCAGGCCTGAATGCCTCGGCGGCCTGGCAGCTGTCTGGGCCCAGCCCTGCAGCCGGGTGGGACGGGCGCTGGGCTCGGGGTCTCCGACTGGGGGGGGTTGGCAGCACGCGGGCATGGGAGGGGCAGGGGCAGCCTTGGTGTAACCTCAGTGTTTGGTTGTGCCCCTGGGGCTCGGGGAGCTTGGGCCCCTCTGCGTGTAGTCGCGCTGCTGGGAGGCCTGGCCTGAGCCCCCGGCTCTCCGGCTGGATCGGCGTTACTCCCAGGGCTTTGCCACGGGGGGTGGGGGTGCCCTGGCCATGCCTGGCACAAAGCTGTTAACCTTTGACCTCTCTCCTAGGTATGTGCTGCTGCACCATGTGATGGGCGAGCTGGAGGGGCGGAAGGGGGCCTGGGGCTACGTGGCAGGCGGCATGGGAGGGGTGTCCCAGGCCATCGCCGGCGCAGCTGCTGCCCACGGGGCAGACATCTTCACCGAGAAGGTGCCCGGCTTCCCGGGGCGGGGGCAGAGAACACAGCTCCCCGGCCCAGAGGGACCACAGCGCCCTGAATCCTCCCCTCCCTCCTCCCCGTTAGCCGCCAGGAAACAGTGACCAGAGACTGTGGTGAGGGGCATAAACCCCACCGGGTAAGGGGGGGCGCTGGGCCAGCCCAGCAGCATCCACACGGGAAAGGGTCACTGGGCGGCCGCACCCTCCCTGCAGCCATGCTCTGCTCAGCGCCCCCAGCACGCTCCAGGCTGATCTCCCGTCTCCCCCCTCGCCAGCCGGTCGCCCGCGTGCTGCTGGGCCTACGCGGGGAGGCGCAGGGGGTCGTCCTGCAGGACGGGACCGAGGTGAAGAGCAAACTGGTTCTGTCCAATGCGTCTGCTCAGCTCACGTTCCTGCAGCTCGTTCCCCCGGTGAGACGCGCCAGGGGGGACGTGCCGGGGGAGATGGGGAGGGGGGAGCCCCGGGGGAGATGGGACGGGGGGGGACACAACGCGCCGGGGGAGATGGGGCTGGGGGGGATACGACGCGCGGGGGGGGCTGGGGGGGGGGGCGCGCCGGGGGAGATGGTCTGGAGGGGAGGAAGGTGCCCCGGCGAGATGCTCCCACGTGTGTGGTTCTTGTACAGCGTCCTGCCCGGGAAATCGCCAGGGAGCCGCGCTACCCAGCGTGTTCTCTGGCAGTGGCAGCACCTGTGTGCAGACAGGCAGGTACAGCCGAGGGAGGGGTCGCGTTCCCCATGGTAACGAGCCCCCTCCCCCCACGATGAGAGCAACACACCCCAGCCCCTATGGGGCAGCCGGAGGAGGCCACTCCCTCTCCACCCCCCTAAGGGGCCTCCCCAGTGCCGGCTTGGGAGCCCCCAAACTTCTAGCAAACACAACACGGTGGTGGAGGCCAAGGCTGGAGCAGCGCAGAGCAGCAGAGGTGGAGCTGGGGGGGAGCAGGGGGGAAGGTGTCTCGGGGCATGAGTTTGCTCCCCTCCCCATCAGTGGGGTCCGTGACTGTTGGGGGCCAGCCCCATGTGGCTGGGCTGCACCCCAAACCATGGCGCTGCTGTGCCCTCCGGGCTCCTGGGCAGCTCCAGCCCTGCCCAGGTGCGGCCCAGCGCTGGCTGCGCTGCCAGCCAGTTCCCAGGCTTGTTTCCAGCCCCTGGTGTCTGAGCCAGGCTCTCCCCACTCCAGGAGCAGGTGCCGGAGGAGTTCCTCCAGCACGTGGCGCAGCTCGACACGCGCTCCCCCGTCACCAAGATCAACGGTAAGTGTCAGTGGGGGACGTCCCACTCCCTGCCCCACCGAGGCCCCCTGGGGCAGTGGGACACTGTTGGGGCCTGTGAGATGCTGCTCCCGTGGGAGGAAGGAGCCGTCATGGGTCTCTGTGAGGCTCCCTGCTGCAGCCTGAGTCCGGAGGGGAAACCGGCCTTTTCCTGCACCACGCCCTCCGTTTCTGCCGTGCTCCCCGTCTCCCTGGGCTCTGCGATCTGCCCTGGCCCCTCGGGGTGTCAGGAGCACGGGAGGCTCCTCTGCCCCTCGGATTCACCCCCTCTCCGACATCCCCAGTGGCTGTGGATCGGCTGCCCAGCTTCCTGGCTGCGCCCAACGCCGGTGCTGGCCGCCCGCTGCCCCATCACCAGTGCTCCATCCACCTGAACTGCGAGGACACGGACCTCCTCCACCGCGCCTTCCAGGAGGCCAGCAGTGGGGAGCCTTCCACCAGGTAGGACTGGAGCTGGCTGGTGGTTGGCAGAGCTGGGGGATGGCAGCGGGGAGATAGCCCAGGGTCTGGTGCCCCTCACTGCTCGGGGCAACGCTACCAGGGCTCTGGGGCAGCTGCCCGCGCTCAGCAGGGTCTCTTGGGAAGGGAAGGACACGGGAGCCACCAGGATTTCTGGAAGGACCGTAGGGGAGGTGCCCACTGGAGAGCTCGAGGCTGGGTGACGTGGAGCTAATCCCGGCTGGAGGAGGCGGGGGGCAGGGGCTGAGGCAGTGGGGGGGTTGCATTGGCAGCATGCCAGGGCGCTGGGCAGGGCTCGGGCTGGATTCCTTCCCGGGCTGCCCGGTCGGAAGGCTTTGACTCTCTCTCGCTCTTCCCAGGCCCATGATCGAGCTGTGCATCCCCTCAGCTCTGGACCCCACGCTGGCCCCCCCGGGCTGCCACGTGGTCTCTCTCTTCACGCAGTACACCCCATACGCGCTGGCTGGCGGGCGGCCGTGGGACGAGCAGGAGCAGAACGCGTACGCAGACAGGGGTAAAGCCAGCGGCTCTCGGCGCTCGTTAGCTTCCCATCCATGGCCCCTTGCCCACTGCTGCTCCCTGTGCGCCCGATCCCAGGGAGGCGTGCAGTGCCCAGCTGCCTCAGTCCTGCCTTCGGAGCAGAGCGGAGAATTCCCCCCATGTAGGGTTCCCAGGAGTCCGGTTTTCGACCGGAACGCCCGGTCAGAAAGGGACCCTGGTGGCTCTGATCGGGCTGTTAAAAGTCCAGTCCGCGGCACAGCGGGGCTAAGGCAGGCTTCCTGCCCAGCTCCACACAGCTCCCGGAAGCAGCAACGTGTCCCTAGGCAGAAGTGCCACCATGGAGGCTCCACGTGCTGCCCCGCCCTGAGCGCCGGCTCCATAGCTCCCATTGGCTGGGAACCATGGCCAATGGGAGCTGCAGGGGCGCGGTGCCTGTGGGCATGGGCAGCATACACTGCACAGAGCCGCCTGACCACCCCTGCACCTAGGGGCCACAGGGACATGCCGGCCACTTCTGGGAGCAGCGCGGAGCCAGGGCAGGCCGGGAGCCTGCCTTAGCCCCACTGCACCGCCTACCCGGAGCCGCCTGAGGTAAGTGCCGCCAGGCTGGAGCCCACACCCCCCACCCCGGCCCCAGCCCTGAGCCCCCTCCTGCAACCCCATACCCCCACCAGAGCCCACACCCCCACCAGAGCCCTCCCACACCCCAACCCCCTGCCCCAGCCTACGCCCCCTCCCGTACCCAAACTCCCTCCCAGAGTCCGGACCCCGCACCCCGAACCCCTCTTTTCTGGCCCCACCCTGGAGCCTACACCCCCCGCTTGAGCCCTCACCCCCTCCCACACCCCCAACCCCCTGCCCATCCCAGTGAAAGTGAGTGAGGGTGGGGGAGGGCGAGGGACAGGGAGGGGGGATGGAGTGAGTGGGGGGGTGGGTCGCAGGGCAGGGGTGTTGGGTTTTGTGCGATTAGAAAGTTGGTACCCGACCGCGGGGGCCATCCAGCCCTGCCCCCCAGTGCCCCGCAGGGAGCTGCAGGCTGGGGGCTGGGCCCTGAGCCCAGCTGGTGACGTTAGACACGCAGGCCAAGCCACGTCTCTCGCTCGCTCGCTCTCTAGTGTTTGACTGGGTCGAGGCCTACGCGCCAGGCTTCAAGGCATCCGTCGTTGGCAGAGACATCCTGAC